GGGGGGAGGCAGGGAAGTCTGACTCAGCCCCAAATGGGAGTTTTACTGGGTAGAAGGATTGAGGCATTGCCCGGTGCACTGGAATTCGTATTCTCCCCACCACCCCCACAATCAACAGAACCCTCAGTCTGGCTTAAAGCTGCTCCCCCCATGGCTGCACAGGGCCCCGGGACAGAGTGCGTCACCCAGTTTCACTTTGCAGTTTGGAAAGTCCTGCCAGGTTCACAGAGCGAGGGGGAGGGGGGAGAACAGGCCCCAGGGTCCCCAGGCAGCCGGTCAGCAGGGCCTGGGAACACAGCTCGCTCCAGAGCAGTTCAAAATCTGTCCCCCATGGGGCCACTCAAGAGCCGGCCAGTGACCCCTGCAGCCGAGAGCAGCCGTCAGGAGACGGTAGAGAGTGGAGCAGAGAAGCCTGCTAGGCTGCTTCAGCGCCTGCTGCCAGGGAGATCCCTGCTCTCACCCCATGCCAAGCCCCCAGCCCTACATAATCCAGGGGGTCCCATCCATAGGATGGCTGGGGTGGCTGCTGCAGGGCCCCCAAAAGCACAGGGCCTGGGATGGCTGCCCTGATTTGTCCTATGGACAGGGTGGCTCTGAGCCCAGTGAAAGCCTCGCTTGGCCCTTTAGTCTGTACCCCAGCTGGGTCAGCCAGAGAGCTCTGCAGGAACAGTCGAGAGCTGCTCCTGCTCCAGCGGAGGCAGGAGAGCCGGGGGATGGCTGCCCTGCGGAGGCCACAGGCTCCATCTAAGTTTTCCAAAGGCGCCTGTCCCTCCAATCAAAATCTTTTAGGAGTCCACACATGAAGGGGGGGGCGGTTGAAAGCCCCCAGCCTACACTGCAAAGACAAGAAAACCTAAGGCCACAAGTCTAAGCCGGGTCAGGCTCCTGCTACAGAGCAGCAGGTGTGGGGGCTCGGGCAGAGCCCAGGCCCTCAAGGGGAGGGTCCCTGAGCCCGGCTTCCAGACAAGCAGGAACATCTCCCCTCACAGCGCAGACACCACCCCCCGCCGCACCCCCACCCCACCAGGCTGTGGGACTGGAGGGGCCCACTCGCCTGAGGCACAGCAGGGAGATGAAGGGACCGTCAAGAGTGTTTGCTGCTCCACCCCGATCCTGCGCCCACAGCAGCAGCTCCAAGGCCCAGCGAAGGGAGTCACTGGACTGGGAACAGGGCAGCACCAGGAGGGCAGGAAGATGCACGTCCCCTCTCCCGGGGTGCTTATGGTGCAGCGGCTGCACTGTAGAAGGGGCTCCAGCCAGCGCCTCTTTGCACACGCACGTGCACAGGTAGGCCCACCAATGGCCCGTTTGAGGGCTGCTCCTGCACTGCTCTGATCTGCCCAGCCATCGCTGAGGGCTTGGCTCGGGGCCAGGTTCACTGTCACCCCCACAGCCCGGGGGAGCAATACTGGGATCCCTGCCCAACTCAGGTGGGGGAGGATCCCGAGCGTCTGCCATGCTATTCGGCAGGGCTCCAGCAGGGGGAGCGTCTCTGCCCATGGCAGCTGCCCTGAGGGGTAGCTGGGGGAGCGGTCAGTTTCAGGGATGGGAGGTGGCTCCAGGGAACCCCCGTTTAAGCCACCCTGTCTGGGCAGAGGGCGCGATGGGACCCTGGCACCTGGCAAAAGCAACACCCACTCCAATGCCTGGACTCAAGGGGTTTAGAGACCCAGTCCCCCAAAAGTACAGGACGGGGGTCCCCAGCCTCCTTCATGTACCATGAGTGGGTCCAGTGACCCTCTGGCCCAGCCCTCCAGAGCCTGTAATGGGGCCAAGAGCCCCCAGACGCCTTCAGACATCCACAGGTGCATGCCCTATCCCACCCCTCCGGGGGCTCCCACCAGGACGGAGGGGGACACTTGAGCAGCGTCCATAAGCTTTGCAGCCTCTTTCGCCGGCCGGAGCAGGTGGTGCTGCCTGGGCACCCTGCCCCGTTTTAGCATTCATTGTCCCCTTTAGCCAGGTCCTGGGCTCTGTGGTCCCTCCCGGCAGAGGGAGGCTGTTGGCTCTGGGTGGGGCTAGAGTCACCCCCTCCCCCAGGACAGAAACTCACTCACACACCCCAACATCCTGTCCCCTCTACCCTAGAGGGCCCCATGCCCCACTCCCATCCTCCCTCCCAGCCCCCAGCTTGCACCCCCCGCCCCGAGAAAACCCCCAGCCCACAATAGAAGGCTTTGTGTACCTCCCCCACCCTGGAGAGGAGACACAAGGGTTGGTCCTATTCACCCCCGCCCAGAGGAAGGGGGCAGCAAGAGGCGGGCTCCGGGGGGCAAGGAGGAAGCACTGGAGGCGGGAGGCAGGGCTGGAGGGATTAACATAGAATTAAAGTGCATGTGCCACATTTTCCAAAAGTGCTAAGGCCTGAAGAACTCCCCACCACATGATGGGAGCAGCCCAGCGAGGCCAAGAAGTCAGAATTACATGCCCTGGAGCCACCGTGAGCCCCCAGACAGACACCGGGTAGTTTGCAGGGGCAAGGTGGCCATGAGACGAGGACAGCCCCCCCAGTCCACCCGTCCCCACACTCCCAGCTCCCCTGCACACAGGACATGCTGCATGGGGAGACAGCCCCCCACACACCTGAGACTGCT